CTAATGATCACCAAGGCCTGTAAAGGTGAACCGATACCTTCCTCAAGGGACTCGGTTAACTGTTCCTGGACTAAATTAACTGTTTCGATACTGTTTGCAGGCACTGATAATGGGGGGTGTAGTTTGTGTTCCGGAAGAAACCTCTTTGTTTATTTTTGGTCACAAACTCTTGTGGCGAGGACAAATTGGGGTATATCAGTGATTGGTGGCCTATTTAAAGCTCTGCTGATAACCGAAACGTCACTTTTCTTAATTCACTTTTACTATGAGTAGACAATAGTTAGGTGGTAGCACTTTGATGATTAATCCGATGCAGTAAACTATAAAATCACGTGTTTGACGTTTACAGTGCCCAGTTCATGAGCGAGAAGGAAACACATCGATTGAAAGGGTACTTATTGATTCATTTTTAATTCGTTACCTGTCAGTTCTTTGCATGAAATTCCCATTTTTTACTTCACCTCAATGTTCCCCTTGGATTTTTCATCTGTAATTGACGCTGTTTTTATTATAATCGTCATTTTTGCGTTATTATTTCCTTTTTTCCTTCTTCATCTATCATATAACATCATTATCCTGTTCAGGTCGACGCTGTTGACGAAGTTGGTTGTTCGGCTCTACATCTTTGCGCTGAACACGGCTACTACAGAATGATCAAACTACTCCTTCAGGTCCGTCTAAAAAGATTTTCCGAAAATTTTTCAATACAACGTAATGAATCCTTTTCAGTACACTGAGGCTGTACAGCAGTACGAAACTCCTGTGATGGAGGCCAACGGAAAATATCCAAGTCGCGAACACGTTGATGAACCATTGCGACTTGCTATCAAGGTGGGCATCAGTTTACATATAAATGAGACACTGAAAAAGCGGTAGGTGTTGTCATACTTGATGGGTGGTGGCAGAGATCAGCCAAAGGGTGGCCAAGAAAGACCTTTATGGTGTCATTGAAGAGTTGACTATTCAAAATAGCGGTAATGCTGCTTAGCTTGTTACTTGCTGCTTCACTATTGAATTTTCTAGTGACTAGTCAGGTGCTATGGAGAAGGTGCTATAGTGCCAAGTGGTGCATCATCACACGTATCCGATATTAATGACACATAAGCACGCCAACCAAGCTTTAAGTCCTTTTGGGATCGATTAGTTGATACTAAACTGGACTGGGAGGGTAGAAGTGCTGTCGTGCAGATCGGCTAACCACTGCAAGGCATCGGATAGGCTACATGCGCATTCAATACCCTACTACGGGAATTCAGATGGGGTGGAGGCATACCCCATTGCAGACTTTCAAACTTCGGTAAACAAATGATGGATGTGATAACACCTTACTGATTGCGAGGGAAAGGAAAAATCATATCTGAGAATGTACTTATCGCCCTTTGCATTATAATTTCACTCGAATTGATCCCACAAGAATTCTTTTTCTCGAAATTACCTACGCCCCTGGTCGTTATCTATCTATACCCATACGACTCCGAAAGATGTGATAAAGAATCTAGACCAGTTATATCCGTTGCCTATTCTGCTGCGTTAACCCCCCGACCACCACCCCCTCCCATCCACTCCCCCACCCCTTCGAGCTTTCAAGTATTTAGATGAATTTGCTTGTCTGACGGTCTCTTTTTTTAGAGAGAAGTTGGAAGCAACGGGGTATAGAGGCATTGATTGAAGCACATTTTGATGGCTTTGGAGCAGCCTCCTGTCGACATTTCATTTCAAAATTTTCGTTTTTATGCTTTACACTCCCTTTCCTTGTGACGATGGATCCCTCATGGATCTGTCTCTTATCTCCTCTATGACCATTTGTCGTTTATTTGTAAAAAACTCCTTTCTTATGAATAATCTCCCACTTGTTCCAGAATGGTCACTACGATTGCGCTCGCCTTCTACTAGAAAACGGTGCCAGTCCGAATGCTATTTACTTTGATGGACCGGAAATCACTCATGTCAGCCCTCTCGACACCCATTTCATCGAACTTCTTGTCAGTCCCTGAGTCGCTTTCGTTTTTAGCTGTTACAACGGGGACTGTGCTCCTATTTCATCTAGCAACCATAATTTCGTCTATTGAGTCCTATACTGTTTAGCTCAAACACGGCGCTGACCCCAACGTCTTTGATCGAAAAGGCCTTACTCCGATCATGAAAGCATGCCGGCTGAAGGAGAACGGAATGGAAGCCATAAGGTTTGCAATTTCAAGGATGTACCAAGCCTTTCGAAAGTATGTAGACGGATTGGAACAGGTGGAGACGGTAGGTCCTTCCCGCTGGGGCCACCGAGTCTTACTTGGCTGATGGCAGAAGTGGTTGGAAAAGGCGAAAATGGTCGTGGAAATCACCTCCTCAAGCCCTTTGGATGTGATTTTTGTGCGGCTCTGAAAGGAAATGAGGCGAATTCTTGAGTGGTTGATCGCCGTTCAATACTTCATGATTAATTCACCCTCAATTTAAGTTATATTCCTCTCTTCTGGGTTGGCCGTCCAATTTTGAGCTCAAATTCTGAAAATATTCACTTTGTTAGCTACCGTATTGACAGTTTTAGAATTCTCCACAAGTACGGCGGTGATGTAAACGCTCAAGCTCATCCACGTCAGGATTTACGTACTCCATTGCACTATGCACTACTCAGTGGCAGTGCTACCCTCGTAAAATTCCTTATTGAGGTAAGTCTTATCAGAAGATCCTGGATCTATCAGTTTTTGCAGTTTGAGCCACGTTCCTCACTATTCTTTCGATCAATAGTTTTTTGTGTTTGTTAGCTCGGCGCCAACGTCACAATGCCAAAGAGTTACAACAAGCCGTCGATCATCGATATCGCTGTTCTTAAAGACGACCCACAACTTCTCAAAGTAAGAATTTTTGACCTTACTCGAGTAGAAATACTTATAGTTCTTGTTAATGTATGATGAAATAAGTAATGACGTGTTCCTTGCCTGGGTGTTCAAGTGGGAGAGTGTTTGCGTGTCGTGGATGACCCATCCTTCCCGAAAGTCACAATAGAGGCTTGTGGACAACAACAGTGAGTCACGCGGATTGATGTCATGTGATAACAGATGATAAGATGATGTGTGAGCCCCAAAACCCAACAGTGACAGCGGCTAGAGAGGTGACAAGTGAAAGAAGCAGTACCGAAAAAGGAGGGGGAGTTCAGATTAGGAACTCATGTATCCGAGTGATACTGAGTGATAATTGATGCTACGGTCATGTGTGATAGTCCTGTGAACAGTATCTGAGTGGCAACAGTATTGATGAGCCTGAAGAGGCGGCAGTAAGGAGTTGAAGGCGATAAGGAGTAGCGTAAGTGACCAGTTCAGCCTCTACCCTTCTTATGTACGCGGTGCAGTGATATGATGGCGATAGTGATAGTAGGAGGTACCTTCTAGTAGTTCGAATGAAGACTGAGAAGTAACATGGACAGTGATGAGCTTTGATACAAAAAACAGATCTATAAAAAGACTGGGAGATCGGGTGTTCTCGAGAGTTCTCTTCACTTGTCACCTATTCTTGGCGCGAGGACCTTGAGAGGAGCTCTTGATCTTTTCTCTTACGAAATCCGGTCGTTCTTGCTGGTCGAACTTACTTGAAATTCGAAAACTCATTTATCGAGCAAATCAAGCTCGTCATTAACTGAAGACCATTACTTCAGCTGTCTTTCCTTCCAGATCATCATTGACGCCGGTGCGGACGTTAATGCCATCCACACATACATTGGTTCGGCCCTTCATTTGGCAGCTTGTTCAGGTAAATATCATTTTATAAAGGAGTGTTTATGGAAAACCAACCCACAATTCTTTCCTCGTTGAATGCAATGCTGCAGTATCAGGTAACGTACCCAGTGGGTTCTGGGTCTTGGCATTGGGTCCAGGTAGATTTTCAGTGGTGTTTCATCCCTTGGCTCGGCACGCTGCCTCTTTCTGAAACCCATGAGCTGAAATACTGCGATACTTTCAGTTCTTGAACATCAATACGAAATTCTTCGTCTTCTCCTTGAAGCCGGAGCAGATCCCAACATACAACATCGCTTTGAAGACGGCTCCCAGCTCAAAAGTCCCTTCGTGGAGTATTTCCGTTCTAGGGACGAGGTAAGAATTTTCCTGGAATTGAAGCGTGATGTTATAGTTTTTCATTTTTTCAAAAACAAAGTTCATTTTTAGGTCGATCCGCGTGTTGTTCACTTGCTGCTGTCATATGGTGCAAAAGTAGTTATGCGCAGTCCTATCACAAATACCCGTGGTCAGCTGAGGAACGTACTGCGCCTTGCCGCCACTCGAGAGCAGCCACAGGTGTGACAAGTCGATTGCTCGGAATAGTGATAGTGCAACCCTGGGAATTCAGTGGAATCCCTTGATTTAGTTCCAGGTACTGAATTCAATGTTGGAACTTGGTGAAGATTTTGACGTTGGTGCCATCGATCGCCTGCCTCTGCCTCTTGCTCTGAAAGGGGACATCCTGGAACGAGCAAGGTAAGTGTGGATGCCACTGCGTAACTGAACGCTTTTCGTGAAATCACCTTCCTTTCAGTGAGAAAGTAAGTATGACTTTGTTGTAGGAATCCTGCTTCGCTGCAACAGCTCTGCCGTCTGAGCCTCCGCTCTATGGTATCGCCATTTCGACCAGACGTCGTCTCACGTTTGCCTATCCCCTCCCACATGAAGGAGTACGTGCTTGGCAGGTCCCATTAAAGAGTCACCTCAGCTTCGGGAATGCTCTTTGTGGCGTATTTCACTCCTTTGCTCTGTACAAAACGTGTTTCCTTTCTTTCATCACAAATTATGTCGTTCGAAAAGAGTTGCACATGGCTCTAATAGATTTTCAAGCGGCTCGGCCCTTTGCTTGCTGAACTCGCTGGCTTTCGGGCTTTCAACGAACGAGTATTTTTCATAATTCTTTGTGTCTATGTTCAATTTGTTACAAAGCATTTATTTGATGTATAAATAGTATAGGCATCCTCATATTCCTAGTCACCTTCGAATCTTTCACTGTTACACCGTGTCGATCGGGTAGATTCGAAACTCATACCTCACTTGCGTGTTGTTGAGCATTTTTTTGAGTTATTCATCCATTTGAATATATTTTATCTTGAGCTCACAATGATTTGTCATTTATTTGGTGATTCAGTTTCATAATTATTTGGTAATGAAATGTTATTATTTGCTGCTAATGNCTGTTACACCGTGTCGATCGGGTAGATTCGAAACTCATACCTCACTTGCGTGTTGTTGAGCATTTTTTTGAGTTATTCATCCATTTGTATATATTTTATCTTGAGCGGTGCTCCCAATGATTTGTCATTTATTTGGTGGTTCAGATTCATAATTATTTGGTAATAAAATGTTATTATTTGCTGCTAATGACTGTTCGGTTAACCTCGGGGGTAGAGAACGTTGTGTTGTAGGCATGGAAGGCGATGTTATTTGAGCTCTTGAAAAAAAAAACTATGGAGTGGAGATCGGGTATCGAACAGCCTGTTCTATTTTGGATCGTCGGAACATACGTCTACCCCCCTCCCCTTTCGTTTCCCCGCTTAGAACTACAATTCTCTTTTCCGGTTAGTTACCAACTCTGATTGGAGTCAGCCACTCAAATGGATTCCTTATCCATTTCACTTAGCCAGACGTAGTCTTTGCCTATTCTCACCGAAAACGAAAGCTATTTCGGGTCTCCAAAACCGCCACAAAGAGCGTTCCCGAAGCTGAGATGACTCTTCAATGGGGCCTGCCAAGCACGTACTTCTTCAGGTGGGAGGGAATCGGTGTATGATGGATCTCCTTAGTGTGGGAGGGTTTCGTCCTTTATTTCGTCTTCTGTGTATAGCCGTCGAGTTTGCTAGTGTAGATAACCTTTCTACGAGTAAATGATAAACTTGTTTTTGACTAACACCTAGGATGATTGACTATGTCGATGCTATCTGATTACTTGCGCATCATGTCCTTCAAGAAAACCTTCAGAACTTCATTGATACACCCAGAGTCAGCAAGTCGACAGGTGAGGTGCACTTTGCTATGTATATTCCTGTGCCCTGCAAGATTTTCGGGGCAAGCTATTTTCTGGTTACCAAATAAAGTTAACCCATAACACTGGAAACCTAACGAACTTCCGTTCACCGGAATATTCTCAACCTAAATAAAGTTAGAACTCATTATATTGGAAACCCAATCTATATATAGATGATTTATTGCTGTAACACTTTCATGAGGCTAGCCAATATTTTCTGTTGAATTATGTACTGCACTATTAACTGGCCATGGCATTCCCTTCTCTGTCCCACCAGATCCCTTCGGACTATGACTTTTGTTTGTCATGCTCTATTTTCGAATCCGACGACGACTTCTCTGACTTTCATTCCGTGGTCCTTTGATTGCCTTTGGGAGAATTTGTGAACTGCAGCTTCTTCCGCAGACTCTTTTCCTCCGTATGACACCTTGGAAGAATACCTTTCACCTAGCAACAACGCTCGACTATTCATTCTAAGCACTCTACAGCAGCGCTGAGAGGGCGGGAGGAATTATCGACGGCTTCAGAAATGTAGAATACCTGAGTGATCGGGTTTCATCACGAAAGAAGAACTCGTTACTTCGTCCCCCCCATGACGTCAGGCTTACCGGTTGATAATTCAGAATATTTTTTCATACGATCACACGATTAGTTCTCAGCTCAAATGATACTCCGGCACTTTCCATGAGTCGGATATCGAAAGTCTGGGACATCTGCTTAGAACCCAGACGTCCTCTTTAGACTGTCATCTCTAACGCTCTTTTCGAAATCACATAAATGTTGATGACAAACCAAGGAACAATAATATTACGTAGAAAGCTTGCTCTTGTAATTACCTTTACAACCCTGCTTGTCTCATAGCAAGGGGAATGCGCCTCCCCTGGCTCCTAGCTGCAGGTATCTCTAGCAATGAGCATTGCACTAGTACTGGATGGTTTCATGGATATGATAGTTCCTTAAACCATAAGTGGACAAACACAAATAATTTTTGTAGCCTCGGGATAGCCCAATCGTACCTTTTTGCCTTCTATTAACTGAAGCACTCTGCCACAGTACACGTAGGGGAATCTGGGATACTGTGGCTTCCTCCTGAATTGAATCCTGAGAGTAGTCAATTATATTGAATCAACGAATGGAAAATACCCTTTTTATTTGTTGACAAGAAAGGAACAAGTGAGTTCATAAGTACCCAACAAAAGCATAAACCAATTCAACAATGAAAGGAAGCGAGATCCCTATTCGATCGACTAATCCTCAATACATTGCATACAATACCCATATAAATTAATTAATTAATCGATGATTTGAAAGAACTTGAACGATGTACTTGCACATAGAAATATCACATGTGCATCAAAAAGGCGACGACTGGCAGAAGGCATACTAGGGCCACACCCAGATAGACGAATACGTTGTCATTCTGAAATCACACATCATCATATCGTCTGCATACACTTCGCATTTACTCCCACGAGCAGACGCTTTCAGAAGGATGGTTGAAGGTGTAGAATTGTAGCTACAGGGTCTGCTGAGTAGGTTTTTGAAAAAAAGATCAAAAAATTAACATTCTTTCAATTTTTGGAAGCACAGGAAGCCATGAAGAATGGTCAGTGCAGAGGTGACGATGAAAGCAACGCTTGCCCAACAGATAGATCTATTCCGCCTGAGCTAACCTACCCCTCTCATTGGGACCACATTGTTGGTTATCACTCTCTCACAGAATAAAAAACCGGAAGTCGGCCAAGCTGCGCTCACCTTTTATAACCCGTGAAGACACCGAATTAAAGAATTCGAGCTAAATTGTGTTTCCTATGGCTCAGTAATTCTCTACCTACCTTATCTGCAAACGGATCGGGTGTTCGTGGCCCGCTGGCAACACTTGGCCCAGAGCTTTCCTCATCATGCTGTTCTTTGTGAACATGAGGGGTATGTGGCTCCAGGTCTTCATAGTCGTCGTCATCCTCATCGAGTACTTGTTTTCGGGATCGTCGACGCTGGAACAAAAACGCTACTTCAAAGCGTTTTCCTGAGACTGTCAGAGAAAGCACCTACCGTAGAATCCCAATTCCGCTGCTGCACAGGAGGCGGTGGAGTGGGGAGAGTGGCCGAAGTGCCTGTTAGTACAGCGATTGCGTTGATTTTCGGATTATCCATCACCTAAACTTGAAATGAAAGAAATATCAAAATCAAGCGATGTAGGAGTATAAAGTCGAAGTCAATCTCATTATATACCGGTATTAATCGTATGTGCAGTTCACGGTCTATATCGCCAATTAAATCCCCAATCGTTATCTCTTTCTTCTTGATCGACACGTCGATGTATCTGTGAGGAGTTATCGATAGTTTCATTCAACAAGCCGTTTGCAAATATAAATGCGGCTTCTAAGTTTGTCTAGCTTCTGAAGTTCTGATCGCAAAATTAATGATAGGTCTTTAAGATAAATTTTGAGAGCTTGGACACACTCGCTAAATTCCGAGTTGCTCGTAGGGCATTCCACTGAGAGTTTGAGAATATACTTCTCTTTGGCTATTTAAAACGGGATACCTTCCTAGACCCCCTTGACACTTACGTAGCCCGGAAACACCTTTCTATTGTTCTAGTTGAACTTCACCACCCTGCTCTTGTCAAAACAATCACTAATAGTGAAGGCTTGGTCTTCCATGGGTCATATGAGGGAAACTTACCTTCCCGGCCTGTTCGACTCTAATGAAAGAAAAAGGTCAGCACCGGCTCAGGTAACTAACACGAGACGAACGCTCATCAGCAACTTCCACATCCGACTAAGTTCCTGATCTTCAAAGTGCGTGGCACATCTCTATTGGATTGGGATCACTGAACTTCCCATTTTCTATGACAACTACTACCCCATGTTTGCTTGAGCCTACTATTATACGCCCTCTACTCTTGTGCTGAGAATCGATTCTCAGACTAATGAGCCTTCTCCCTAAGTTCTCATTTTACCCCAACCTTGTGACTAAATGAAATCGATCTTACTCAAATTGAATAAACTTACAAGTCATATGCTACGCCCGTCGCTCCTGATTCGCGGAATATGTCTAGATCTCGTTTCACCGGCAAATCATTCACATGCACATGGAATACCTGTAAGGCGAAATTTGGAGCCCCGTTTAGTATAACTTCAGAAATTGTTGAGAAGTTAAAACCTTTAATTCTCAGATATGACTGTTAAAATATAAGAGTATGGCCACGCTGGGTGCTCCAAGGCATTCGACGAGCACGCACTATTCCTTACTCAGTAGGACCTCCTATCCCTATGTAGACATATTTCTTACTCTTCCTTTCTAGGTGACGAAATTGAAGCTGAACCGGATTTGGAAGAAGTTTGGACTAGTTTTTTTAACCGGGAAGATACTGGGCCCGTCCCCGTCTGATTTACCCGACTGCCAAGTGGGTTAGAGAATACAGAAAACCAAACCTTTTGTCCAACAGACTGAAAGTAGACTTCGGAAAACTTCAACACAATCACGTATTCGCCATCCTTTGCAATGTCGAATACGTACGTGAGATCTCCATTATGGTAACGCTCCGTCTAAAAAGTTTCAATAGATGTGTAGCACTACAGAAAAAGGACCCCACCACGAGTAGGCTCACCTCATAGAGCTTCCTATCCTCTATCGGTACATTTGGAAAAGTGTAGCGAGCACCGTAGTCGGATACTACACCAACAGGATTCCGATCTTCTTGGTAAGCGATGCCATAGGCGCCTACGTGGCGATAGCCACCTGAATGCTCGAAATTCTGTGTCGCAAAAAATGCTAATCATGATTGTTCCATTATGAACATATGACTATAGAGAAGTAGTACACTCTCTCACTCCTGTCGTGTCCTGCTTTTTGGCACGTAGGCGATCCCCTGACCGTGCATGTGATAATGTACCTTTTAGCACTACCCCACCCAAGCCCATTTGTACAACATGTTGCGTAATAGGTAGAATTCTGATTAACTTACCACAATTCACAGCATGAACGACCCTCTTCGAAAGGTCCGGAGGTTTGCCTTCAATCGATGGGAGCCCAATTACGAAAAGAAGGACAATGTGGAATGGCGTCATCAAGGCTGAAACGATAAATAATGAGATCTACATGCGAAAGGGTTAATTCAGATTTGAAATGAGACTCGACCGTGAAGAAAAAATTTGGCCCTAATGAGTTTGAGCAAAACCAAAGAGGATAAAGAATATAAATAGGAGATGAGGCAGAAACAACGATGCATCGGCAATTCGATATCGTCTCCAGAAGAGCTTGCAAGAGCTATATCGGCCATGATATTTCCAAATATAATGCCTGGGGAGTTACATGCGGATTTGGAGTGGTCGCCTTTAGCTGTCATTAGGTTCTTGGAATGCTTACCGAACGGAGACTTCTCTACTCAACTGTCCATGCGGAAGCTATAGAACGTAAAATGAGATGAGGAGGGGTCACTTGCCGATGCAACTGAAACCGAAGAGGAGCCTGGCACATTTTTCTGGGATTACTTTTGGTTTGGGTAATGGAACAGAATTGTCGTTAATCCAACTATCTTCAAATAGACGGATGCCTTCGATATCCGATCAATATCACATATGTTGGAATTTCGAAAGTCATAAACTAAGTATAAATCACGGGTATCAGAGAAACCGATAGCGAGCCGCGAACTTTTTTCGATAGAAGAACTGCAGCTTGGGTATCTGAGTAATCCTTCTGTCTTCCAGTCTTTCAGTTCTCCACTCATTTCAGCACTGAATACCAGTTTGATAGAAATCACCACTGCAACGGGACTTCCGTTTATGATAACTATATACCCCATCTGTCCATAGAGGTGCGTTGGAGACTGTGGGCGCACGAATGTTGTTTGCCGGACCCAGAGTTCATAATGTGGTGTTTTCCTCCCCCTTGGGAAATTCGAACAAATACGTCCTTGTAAAGTAATCTCCAGCTGATAAGTGAAAGTTGGATTGATCTAGTTGGTAACCACAAAAGAGAAGGCCATAATCGTGGTGGCTTTGGGGCTGAGTGTGTAACACTGCCAGTGAAAACCATACAGGTGCTAGGAAAATCCTCGAGAATTTCCGGGCAGGGCACAATATGGCACCTGCTCATGCCCATATTCATGAAATAATGCTCATGTATGAACAACAGGAACGAACGCTTCTGAAAAAAACTTTTTTTTGCTTTATTCCCCATTATTTAGGCATCGCTTGTAAGAAACGACACATGTGGCGTCGCAAGCTATAAAAAGCGTATGTAACCGCACAGTCTCACTTGCTCCATTGTCATTTAAGTTGAGGAAGAGGACGGTTGAAGTGGAATGGAGCTGATTATTAAGTTGTTGGTATGTCAACTCTGTCTAATGTCCATTGGTCTGAGATGCTAAGAGCTTAGCTTAGAAAGGTAGCTCAGAGTTGGTCTGTATTAAATGTGAGAGGTCACACGTCCGAAAAGTTTCAAACACTTTTAGTTTTCTGGAATGACAGACTTGTACAAGCATAAGACACAGTAAAAGTTCCGAAGGTGGGGAAAAAATCGTTGGTCATAAAACATCGAGCACTTGCAAGATAGAGATAGACAAATCAAAGAAAAAATAGCAGTGAAGTCGATAGCATTTGTAACTATTCAAACAACCAGGAGGTATTTGAATTAAATTGTTCAACTTGCTACTTGCTGTTTAAAAAGGAAATCTGACTTTCTAGAATTTCGAAAATTTTAAAAATCTTAAGCAGGAAATAATTTTTGAATTTCTGAAATTGTTCTGCAGAGGGAACTGAGAATGACATTGAAACCAGAAACGACACTAGTCGAAGGCATGCCCCTGAGACATTGACATGAACAGACATAGCATCAAAAAATTAGTAAAAGCGGTTAAAAACGCGTGTGTCAGCTTTGAACATTCTCACTTTTGTCAGCATGCTCTTGTCTTACAACATATACATCACTCAGTTCTCATAAACTGATTTCCCTATAAAGGTTAAAGCCCTGGAGCGTTAATCAACCTCGTCTGAGGGATGCGCTCACGCATTAGACTTCCACTCAGATGGTAGTGGCGTTTTGAATGCTTATGTTTCCTATACAATGACCTGCGGCGGCCAGCCGATGTACAAGTCAGTGCTTTTTTCCTCCTAGACGAATCTGGTACCAATTAATTGACCCCGGAGGGATGGAATGCTGTGTCTAAGCGGATATCGATCCGGAATATCCGCCCAGATCGATTTCCTTATATGAAGATTTTCAAAATACTGGCAGATCCTCTTCAGCTATCAATACTATGGCAAACAAGGAGGTTTTAAAAAACAGGAAGCTTAGGAAGCCCTTCTCCATACTTCCCGTTGGTGAGCTTGCGCCACGACTGTAAGCATTCGGAAAAAGGCATATGTGCAAATTAGGTTTCATGCTAACATGAAAGTGTAACCACAGTCCTATTAAGTTTCTTCCCCGGTAATACGCTGCAATCTAATTATGTCCCTCTTATCTGCCACGATTCCGTTACAAAAACAGATCGTTTCCAACAGCTGGCCAGAGCCAATTCCGCCTAATTATGTGCCTCGTCAGTCGATCGCCCACTTTGCCTTTTTTACCGACCATTGACGACTACGAAAGAGATAAATAGTGAAGTGTGAAAGATGGGAAAGAGACGAGGGAAAAAGCAATGATCACTACTGCACTGCAAGGAGGAAGGATGACTTGCAAAGGGAGAGAGCTGGACAAAGGAGAGAACGGACTTTGCAAAGAGAGTATCACAGAATTACGTACACATTAAATTGTAACCTGAATGAGCACATACACAAAAGATCAGTGGGAAGCTAGTTAGAAGAACGAAGAACGAAATTCGCTGGTCAGCCACTAACTGCTTCTATAGGGTAGATCCACAGAAAGATGATTCTTATCACTTGAACTCGGGAATGGACTTGGAACGGAACAAGAGTGAAATAGAGAGAGGGAGAGGGAGTGTGGAAGAAGTCGAATAGTGTTCAAAAGAAAGATACTAAAGGGGAAATGAATGGAATCAGGGAAGCATATGAAAAATTTAAGGAATGCCTAGCCATCGTGGCAAGGAAGGTAAATAGCAGGTTACCGAAGAAAATGCAAGCACCATGAAGAAATCAAACATCACGAAGAATAAAGCTTGGACGAGGCATGCACGAGAAAGAACGCTGAAGGGACGAGCTATCAGAGGTGCTCTTGTGAACAAGTACTGGGTGAAAAGTCATGCCTCTCGAGAATAGAACTAGACATACCCGAGTAAAGAAAGGGTTGAGCAGTCTTATGGAAGAGGCCATGACTTCGAAGCGAAAGATCTTTTCAAAAATAAACTACAGCAACCAATCAGCAATCGTTAGAATACAGTACTGTGAGCCTTTTTGAACAGTGCCCAAACAGGGGAGGGTTCTGTTGACATTTTACCTTCTTACCATCCACATTTGTACTGCTCAAAAATACAAAAGGTGTGGAACAGAGAGTATTCATCATTCTAGGAATATCACAAATAGCAGAGTTAATCTTTTGGGTACCACGATTAGCGTAGTGGTTCAAGAAAGAAGCAGCTTTTCACGGTGTCAACCATATAAATACCATGGAAAATACAAGAGGGACAAATGAGGAAGACGAGTCAGTTTTCGTTGGTCCTATATGGACGGCTAGAAGACACATACGTACAGGAATAGGAATGCAATGGAAAATGGGAGCCACTGAATAGGAATAGCTGCAGACGAACAGCTCGGTGTTGATGGAAAATCAAGAAAAGGACATCGAGTTTACAAGAGTGTTTAACAATCACAATAATATAACGATGCTGGAGAGGGAGAATTTAGTCGGAAAAATGAATATCATGGTGTCCATGCAGGAGCTGCTGTCAAAAACTTTCATATACTCTTATACACAAGAATGGCGTAATAAGTGTAACAATTAACTCAATTATCAAGAAGGATACTCCATGGGAAAGTGGGAAACTTCGCAATAAAGAAGTAGTAGGAGATGAACGAGTAGAGTTCGCGTACGAAAAGTGAAGCCATTGATGTTATCCATTCTTCCTTCATCTCTATTAAGATTTTAGGTTTCCCAGGACAAATCAAACAGTAGAAATCGAACAGTCAAACATAGAAGTTTACGAGCACATGTTAGAAACGAAGTACGAGTATGATGAGGACCTACGAATCAGAAGCCAGGAACTGGACATAGCTCAACCTGAAGCAGTGTCCAGCGGTTTTGATGCCACATCTAACCATTGACGTTAGGCCATACATAGCTTGACTTGTAGCACTGCAAAAGCCTATCGAGGGGCACAGCTATGATTATGATTTATTGTTTGTTGTTCAGAAAAATTCAGTGCAGATTATCTGCAGTGCGAATCTTTGATAAGTACAAAATGAGCCCCATGTGAGAAATAGGGTGAATGTTCAGTGCAGAAGGGGATCAGCAAAGGCCAACGCTGCAAACTGTACTGCGGATGACAGCTCCATTGGTCGGTCAACATTGTAGTAATGTGATTTCCAAAGGTCGAACACATAAAACCGACAGAATCCATAACAGAACCAAAAAAAAAA